CCCAGGAACGTGTTTATTTCCAATGACCTGCTGTGGCAGCTGCTGTATAACTTGCAAAGGAGGCTTTTTCTCATATGGAAATTATTGCTTTTCTTTTCTTTTTATCTTTCTAGTTAAAATAAAGCCATTGGAGATGTAAGCATACAGCTGGCTTCTGAATGAGAAAAGACGTACACCGTCTGCACACAGCTGAGTTCCTTGAAGCTGGCGGCTGCGGGCTCGGTGGTGCCAACCAAACACAGCCATGGGCTTTACTTGCTCTGGGACCGGCGTGTCACCGGCCTCAGCCTCCCAGCAGCGGTGCCGTCTGGGGTGTTTTGTGCCAACCCCAAATCCCTTTGGCAGGCCACAGCCAAGAATCTCACAGACTGCTGTCCCAAAGCTGCGGCAGGAGGTGGTCTTGCGTTTCCCAGGGAGGGCTGCTGCTGCAGCAGGCACTCACTGCCTTGAGCCCGCCTTGGCTGCTGGGCGATTCCTGGCAGAGGTGAATCATGAGTGGGGAGCTCCACGACTGCGGGGTGCATGCATGCACCAAAACAGTGCCTACAGCTTGCTGCCTCTGCCCCGCTCTCCTTTCCTGCCTCCTTTCCCCCAGGGTCCTAACTCCTGACTTTGTTGCTCTATAAACATAATAACAATAATTATTCTCTCATTGGACACGTAGCCATCTTCTTTGTTTGCAGGCTTAGATAAATATCATTCAAATCATGGAGTCTGATTCATGAGTCAGGACGATGGCAGTCCTCCAAAACCTCCTTGCCCATGGAGAGTGTGTTTGTGTGAGAGAGATAGAGAGTTTCACTGTATGAAGAGTAAGAAACTGGAAGCCAAGTGAATTAAATACAAAGCAGATAATTATGTGTAATTCATTTACTGACTAATGATTGCACCTGGTACGAAGTTTTTTGAATTCATTTGACTCTGCAGAGGTTCTCAAAAACATTCTCCCTGCTACACGATAAAAATATAGGCTGACATTTCTGAACAGACCAGTGTTTACATTAGTAGTATTGTAAGATTCTGTCTTTTTGGCTCATTCCTTATTTTATCTCACGATGTTTCATTTTTTTCTGGGTTCATCTCGTACCTCTTTTAAAGTGACTACTGCTCAGCCCTGGTAAAGAATGGGTGTCACTGGAGAGTGACGCCTTCAGTCTGCTTGTGACAGCTCTGTAAGGCATCAACGCTTTTCTTCCCTCCCCACCCCGGCAGCCGGGACTGCGCCAGGGAGGCCATGACCACAGCGGGACCGCGCAGGCCACGGCCCCCTTCCCACTCTGCCATGATCGGCAGTGATGGGGGGCTTTTTGTGGTGTTACTCACTTGTCACCTTGGTCTGGTGCCACCAGCTCCTCCTGCCTGAACACTGCCAAGCAGGAGCAACCGTCGCCTCTCGAGAGCTGGGTGGATTGCAGGTGAAGGACCCGGAGTCGAAGCCTTCAATGGGATGGTAAAGACCATGCGAGTCCCACGAGGCCCTGGGGAGCTGCCTCCGTGCAGATGGGGCCCCTGTGCCTCCACGACACCTCTCCTACCTGGCGTGTTCAACCCGAGGTCCTCAGGGTGCCATGAGCCAGGCCCAGTGAGTCCTGGGCAGGAACGGAGAGCAGAGCTGCACTGAGGGCTTGTGACCACAAAGATGCTGCCCAAGACGGTGCGGTTACCTGAGCAGCTGAAGCGAAAGAGCTTTCCAAGTTATATTGCCCGTGCTAGGCATGCGCTGGTGCCCTGCTCCTGGCCTGTCGATGGGCTAAAGGCAGCTCACCTTAATCATCCCCCTGCCAACATGAATGTATGCGCATAGTTGATTGTTCATGTCTTCTGTAATGGCTCTTGGTCAACTCAACAGACAAAAATTTCCGGCTGATCCTGTCTGGACTATCGTATAACTGGGATCTATTTTTTAATTAAGTCAGATGAAGCACAGGGTATGTGAGATATAAATATACCTCTTTTGTGCAAGTGGGAGAGGGTTAAATCTGCTGGCACTAGATAAACGTAGATTTATATGAGATGCCCTTTAATACTGATTTTGGGGAGGGAACAAACTGGGAATGACATACAGGGGAAGGGGGAGATTGCAGATTGGTTGTTTGGCCATTTCAATAAAGACAATAAATCTTGAAATGATCGCACTGAAGGCAGAAAACCCAACAAGCTGATTACACTGTTTTTAATAGCATTATTTGCCATTGAGTGTTTACTGAAGCATTATGTAGTGAAGTGGAGCTCCTGGCCACCAGCGAAACAGCTGTAGCCTCTGGTGCAAGCCCTGTCACTCAGCGGTGCTGCCTTGGAGCTGCCCCAGCTTTCGGCGTGTTGAAGGGCGCGAGAGGGCCCACAGCCCTGGGCGCCCGGCCCTTTCCCCGCGAAAAAAGGGTCGCCACCCGCAGGGTGCTGCCTGCGTGGCCGGGCCGGCGACTCATGCACCAAAGCAGCAGTGGTGCTGCTGTCTGTCTGTGGCAGCCACAGGCAATGAAAACATCGTCAATTAAAAAAATGTAACCCTATGCTATGATATTTTGTTGTGAGTGATTTGTAATTAGAAAAGTCAAAACCAGCTCACCTTGTTCACATGAGTATTGCCACCGACTGAAATGGCAGTCGGCGCACACTTTAATTTTGAACCTGGGCAATCCTTTTCTGATGGAGATCGGACAAGCCAGAACAGACTGCAGGCTGGGAGCCTTGCACTGTGATAGTGGTGTGTCTGTAGGTGGATCCTCGCGGTAGACAGTGTGCTGCAGAGCCAATGAACCTGATGCACAGCTGCGTTACTCCAGTTTCTCACTGTAAAAACACCACTGAATCCTCAGCAGAGTTGAATTAACTAAAGAAAAAAATGGGACCATTGTGTCTAAGTTTGCAGCATGCATATGGAAATGACTAGCTCTTTCTTGCAGAACAATTAACATATATGGATTTTTTTTCAGCACTGTGTTTCCAAAATGTATCAAGAATATGACAATGTGTCCAGGCTGAAGTTTTACTTGTTAAAAAAAAAACCAAAAAACGGTTAAAATCTACGATAACAGCCAGGGCAGAACTCCCTCAGTATGTCTGATGTGGTGATTAGTATTGCTGTATTCAGAGGAAGGGGATTATGAAAACTTTAATTGCTTTTGAAAAGATACCATTTCTGCACACCAGGTGGGCACAACCTAAAACTTAAAAATAGAGTAAGTTAAAAATCTCATCATGATTTCTTTTCAAGTTGTGAAAACGCACTCTGAGCAATTGAGAAGAACTGAGTAATTGTGATCTTTTTGCAAGTAATGCTCTGGAAGAATCAACGAAAGGCAGCAAGCAAGCTTGCAATTAGTAATTCTAATTATAAAGTGTATACATAAAACAACGTAGCATTGTAAGTAAAGGCCAAACTCAAATGATGCAATAGGAATAGTAGAGCATTATGTAAAGATGGACAAACCATGTCTCTGGAGAAACACTTATAAATTATCTGTATTTTCCCAATAAGTGTACCAAAAAAGATAATATAAGAGCAGCATTTTGTTTTGCTTTGTGTAACGTTCATCCTAAGGCAGTGCCAGCTGAAGCAGCTCGCGCATGTGCTGCTGCGGCGGCCACCGCGGAGGGCTGGTGATGGCGGCCGCCGCGAGGGCGCTCTGTCGTGAGCGCCCGCAGGTCTGAGGACCGTATCATGGCTCACTTCCATCAAATACCAGCAAACAGCAGATGCTGGTATTTTTTTCCTTCCTCTTTTGAGATTGAGCCTGTACGCTTTCTAGACAATGCAGAATTATGTCAAATACAAGGTATGGAGCTTGAAAAAAGAATAACTGTAAAAGCAATGTAGGGATCTGTCTTACATAGTCTGTGGTTATACACTTGCTAAGCTCAACAAGTCTATACGATGCTTTATGTGCTACGAGGGAAACTTTGAACTCCAGCATTATGGAGCAAAGTTGTCCTTTGAAGGAAGCGTGTGTAGCAGTGCCAAAGGATTACACGGTACAGTCGTTATAGACCTTGTCTCAAAATACAGTCCTGGATGCAACTAGAGAAGGTGAAGAGACATAATACCTTAAGGAAATGTTTTTATTTATTCTCCTTGGGTGCATATATGGCAATCACCCATGTAGCGTGATCCAGGATGTTGAAAACCATTTCATTATGTTCTATAAATAAAGGCCTGATGTGGTTCAATTGTATCAATTATGCAACTCTTCTAAGTGGGATAGTCAAGGGTAAACGCAGGCAAAGGGCACTCCCTTTGTACCCACTTCTACTCTGGGCATTTCTAGTATTTACCTGCTCCTTATGTACCGCAGAGAGATGAACCTCTCCACTTTTATTTACCACCGTACCACTGACTCCTCTTTCGTCAAGAGCTTTTCCTATGCGCAGATGACAGAGTAAAATGGAAAATGGAAGTCAAGACACTGCTGTGTATTAGGCTGTTGTGCAAGATGTAAGTGTGGCTGTACAGTAATTTTGAGCAAAGCATCGGTTTTAAACAATGTTTAAACTGACACCACTATTATGCAATATAATTAATTATGGCTAGAAGGGCATTTGAGGTTTGCTGGCACTACCTTTGTCCATTTTATAATTATACCAAGAAGAGGATGACTAAGTTGTGCCTAAGCTAATTGTATCCATTTGGTTTTAGCCCTCTTCTCCACCGTCAGGTCACTAGTGTTCTGCACTGTAAGTGTTTGGAGGGGTCTGGACAGATTTGTGCTGAACACAGCGGGGCTGGTGCTGGCCTCCTTGCCTCAGGTGATATTGCAATAGCGCTCTAACAATAGCAGTAATAATTACAGCTAGTCAACGTGATAAGTACAAAACAGATGTCACTTTTTTCCTGCCACTGTGAAGTTACCTATGAAAGACTTCTTAACCTTATCTGCTGTGCTCGGTGTGCTCGCACAGGTGTTTGTGCGGGCGGACAATAAAGCCTTGCCGCAGGCGGTGACGTCCTCCGGCCGTGCCCTGAGCCCAGCAGACACCCGGGAGCG